AAAGGAAGGGTAGAAATTAAAAAGAAAATCCGATCATTAGAACGAAAGTTATTCAGGGTGATTCGTTTTTTTTTTTGCGGACTGTACAAACTTTAAGAACATTAGAGAGAAATTTCTTCATTTAAAAACCACCTATGAATTTATAAAGCAGCATTGGTCAAACCCTAAGATAAAAAAGGGAATTGAGGAAATAATAAGAAAATTGTATAGTAACAAGGCACCTCCCTGAATCCTGATGGCCTTTTGCCGCCTATTGTTAGGAAAGATACACTTTAAATCACTGCTTATTGATTTACCTAAGGCTCCTATACTATCAGAGCTGACCTATCAAGCAATATTGGAGCAAAAAAGTTCACAAGTTAACGTTATGTTAGTATTGTGCTTATGTTAGCTCTTTGGAGCAAAAATAGATGCCTGTTATGGTTTTATTTTTACTTGAATTTTCTCTTAAAATGTTTTCTGTGCTTTAGTTTCACACTTTTGCCAACCTCTGCCCATATGTGATACCTCATTTTGAAAATTTTAATCACTTGTGTTCCTAGAGTATATATATGTCTTGTTTTGTTTAAAAAATAAAAAAAAATCCTGGAATTTGATACCTTTAGTACTGTTGTGCCAGCTGTAATTATATTCTGAGTTACAAACATCCTATATTTTCCTTGTGAAATTGTTTCCTTTTATTTACTTTGCACCCCTACTGAAGATGCGGCATCAATATCTCTTCTAATTGTTACTGTTTATTTTCTTTGTAATGTTTGTTTGCATTTAGTTTATTTCTAAGTAGCACTGTTTTCTGGATTTCATATTTAATATTCTACCTTTTTTGTTAAATATCTAATTTGAAAATTTTGAATATGTTTGCTCATGTAATTGAACTGTTACACTCACTTCAAACTTTCGGAGTGACCCCTTACGGGGGCGGGATGGGGTTAAGCTTGTTATTATTAGTAGTCGTAAATCCCAAAAATTGGGTCGACTGTTCGACGATGGTTATAAAATAAAATATAACAGTCATTGAACAGCCCACCCGATTTCGAATTTACGAGTACTAATGTTCAACTCCGTAGCCTTGTAATTTTGAACCAATTCCAGCAGAAAGAGAACTCCAGGATCAAGTTTTGGAAGAAATTTTTGCCTTCGTGGAAGACGTTTTGATGGAACTAGCCCGCATGTGAGTTACATGGAGAGGAAAACAACGAAATCCTCCCACGGTTAGTCTGATAACAAGGGACTCTAACCCATGATCCGTCTACCACTGAGGATATTTTACGTCAGCACAGTGGTCGTTATAAGCCGGGTGTGGAATTCATATCGACCAGCCCTCACTGGGATTCGAACTCGGTGCACCTCATCCGGAGGAGAATGATCCATCTATCCAGTGAGTCCATCTTCATTGAGTAATAATTCTGCGGGATGTACTAGTTTTCCAATTTTATTGATTGGTACCAATTTTATCGATTTGCCTAAATTTAGTCGTCTTCAAAATGTAAATGACAATCCAATCGTCATTTTTGCAGAAAAAAAAATGGAAATAAACCGTTTCTCCTCTTTATCTGCAATGATAATGAGTGCAAACTGTTGTCACAGGTTACTACATACATTGAAAAAGAAGTTCACCACTAGATGCCACAATTATCTAAACTGGTTCAAAATGCAACGCTCACCCGAGTACAAAAGTTAGGTTATTCAACCCCATAAATTTAACTTTTCATACGTCGCATCATGTACAATAGCAAATCACACCATAATAAACATAACGGTGAACAACCATATTGCTATATTGTGAGAATATCTTATTACACAAAAAGAAGAAGAAAAATTACATTATCCAGCCTTATAAATTTAACTTTTCACAGTGCTGAGTTATCTCAATTGACAAAAAGTACAATATCATCTCACATCGAAGAAAAGTTAGGTTATTAGGTTAGGAATACTACTTTCTATTGTATAATGTACAATAGTAAATCACACCATAATAAACACGACTATGAGCAACCAGAAAGCTATCTACTTTGTAAAAATATTTTATTACACACACAACAAAAAATAGATTATTAAACATTAGGAACATAATTGTCAAAAAATGATTGCCTTACTTGTAACAATAAATCACCTCACATGAACATCATTATAATAGCTTAAAAAATAAAATGAAATAAATCTTAAAGAATGTCTTTTACATATTTCATTGAAAAACTTGCAAATGCAATTTATTTTAATTGTCTTTAAACAAAAAATAGAAATATATTTGTACAAGATATGGAAATTGTACTAAAAATAAAAATTTTTAAAAAATATCTTTGACAAATTTTTTAAACTTAATTTCTTTGTCCATTATGTTATACTACACAGTATAAGTATAAAATTAAATAAAGTGCATTTTATTTTAACCGTTTATAGAAAAATAGAAATATTTATAACAAGATATTGAAAATGTGATGAACCATTATAAGAAAAGAACTACAAATTAATATCACACACTTATACATAAAGACCTCATGACATATATATATTTTTTTTTAATGAACTGAGCAGTTATTTCAAAATGACAAATTAAAATCATTTGCATATTTCCTTATTAAATTTAATTATTTATTAAATAGTTTTTGGAATTAAAAAAAACTTAGAAGAACAAAAAATTGATTTTATGAAGCAATCTACACTACTTTATATCATGTTTCATAAACCAACTAAGAATAAGGCTTCTCCCGAGTATGAACACGACCGTGTCTAGTGAGATGACTTTTTCGTGAAAAACCCTTATTACATATACTACAAGAATAAGGCTAGTCAACAGTATGAACATGACAGTGTTTTTTCAGACTACTTTTTAATGAAAAACTTTTATTACATAAACTGCAAGAATAAGGCTTCTCACCAGTATGAACAAGGCTGTGTTGTATTAGATTATCTTTTCGTGAAAAACTCTTATTACATATACTACAAGAATAAGGCTTATCACCAGTATGAACAAGGCTGTGTTGTATTAGATTACTTTTTTGTGAAAAACTCTTATTACATATACTACAAGAATAAGGCTTATCACCACTATGAACATGATTGTGTTCTTTCAGATGACTTTTTTGTGAAAAACTCTTTTTACATATATTGCAAGAATAAGGTTTCTCCCCAGTATGAATACGACTGTGTATAGTCATATTACTTTTTACTGAAAAACCCTTATTACATATACTACAAGAATAAGGCTTCTCATCAGTATGAACATGACTGTGGCTGGTCAGCTTACTTTTCAGTGAATATTTCTTATTACATATACTACAAGAATAAGGCTTCTCACCTGTATGAACACGGCTGTGACGGGTCAGATTTCTTTTTATTGAAAACTTTTTACGACATATACTACAAGAATAAGGTTTCTCCCCAGTATGAACATGACTGTGTTCATTCAGACTCATTCTGTTTTGAAAACTCTTATTACATATAATACAAGAATAAGGCTTCTCACCCGTATGAACACGACAGTGTGTTCTCAAACTACTTTTTACTGAAAAACGCTTATTACATATACTACAAGAAAAAGGTTTCTCACCAGTATGAATATGACTGTGTTCAGTCAAACTACATCTTTCTGAGAAACTCTTATTACATATACTACAAGAAAAAGGCTTCTCAGCAGTATGAACACGACTATGTCTTTCCAGATTACCTTTTTGTGAAAAACTCTTATTACATATACTACAAGAAAAAGGCCTCTTACCAGTATGAACACGACTGTGTGTAGTGAGATGACTTTTGTGTAAAAAACTTTTATTACATATACTACAAGAATAAAGTTCCTCAACAGTATGAGCACGATTGAGTTTAGCCATTTTTCTGACTTTTTTGTGAAAAACCCTTATTACATATAGTACAAGAATAAGGTTTTCTCCTAGTATGAACACAACTGTATTAATTCCTAATCATTCATTGAGAATATCTTATCACATATACTACAAGAAAAAGGCTTCTCACCAGTATGAATTTTATAGTGTTTAGACGGGCTTTTCCTGAAAAAATCTTGTTACAAAAACAAGAATAAGGTTTACTCACAGGATGATACTTATTCTGAATTAAATTAGGCCTTTAATAACATGTGATACGAAAAAGAGCATGCTCTATCAAGTCACTTACTTTGACTATATTTTTAATTAAGTAAAATATAATACAGAGGAAATATGATTTATAAATAGGTGCATCTATGAAAGCATTAATTTTAATTATATTGAGTAATTACTGAATAATTTTTTTTTCGCAACCAACTTTAATATTTCTCTTTTGTTGAACATACCAAGATACAAAACTAAATTAAATTATTTTACTTTATGATATTAACTATTATGAACATGAAATTATCAAATTTGATTTCATTAGCATTTTATACACAAAGACACTGCAGAAATATTGTTCATTATAAACCAAGAAAAGCAAAAAAAAAATTTTTTCACTTTGACCGACTTGAAAGGTTTGAAATTATCTATAAAGATGAATATAAAAAACTTTCATTTCAAATTCCTATATCAATGTTCTATCATACACAAGAAAAGCAAGCTCTTATTTATTAACATAAATACGAAAAAGTCAACAAAGTTTAATTCTATTTACGAGTATTAAATTGCACAAACTGAATACAGAAAATATTTTCTTAGTCTGAACATGAAAATCACAATTTAAATTTCTTGTGTATAAATATTAAATCATATATGTTTTATGAAAGTGACACACAGCTTAATTATCTGAAACTGTAATCAGTGATCTGAAATTTTAATCTATTTATAACTGTTTAATAATGCACTGCATGAAAAGTTCGTTTAAAGTGTTACTTAAATTATTCTTTTTTCCTTGATTAATTTATCACAATGAGTGCTTAAATAAATTATTTCCATCTTATGAACACATAACAATGAAATTTAACTACTTTTTTTAGTATAATTGTTAGAATAGAAGTGAAATGTTTTATAATAACGAAGAATAATTATAAACTACAATTGGAAACTCATCAACACAAACATTAAATTTCCATGTAAGAAAATAATTTTCTGTTAGAACATCATTGCAACTATGACACACATTGCACAGAGACTATTCGCTGTTATTGTTGCTACATTGAATGAGATTGTCTTTAATAATAATTTTTCCTTTGCTCATGGACAATTTTCACACACTGAATGAATAGTTTATTGTTTATATAAATCGTACAGAAAACACAATATTTTTAAAAAAAATATTTATGCACGCACAATATGAATCTTATTAACTGTCAGCAAAAAGATATTTTATCATTCACATCAATTTTTTTTCTGTATAAAGAAGATATTCTATGAAATAGATCTGCATGGAAATAACCTTTTTAAAACGCTTTCTACTAATTCACTTTACATGTACGAGATTATGAATACGCAGACTTATAAATTTGATCCAAGAAGTTGCAAATCAAAAACAATTTTTTTAAAACTTTTCTTCACACAAATATGGTTAATTAATGTCTTCTTCGGTCTAAGTAAGACATTATGTTTCAGTACAGTTACCCCGGTAAAGAATTTTACCAGAAAGAAGTAAACATTAGCGATGAGAATTGTTTACGTTATCGGTTGCCTACTTCTACTCACCTGATCTCAACGATCTCGGTTGTTGTTGTTGTAGTTGTTGCTGTTGTAGTTCAGTACGTCGCACTAGAGCTGCACAATGGGCTATTGGCGACTCAACGATCTTGGAACAGTGATATTGGTGATTGAACGTTCGTTGCGATCGCGAATCGACTAGCGCACACACGAGAAAGTTTGCTAGGAATTTTATGTTTAGTTCTGAATACGATTGAATATTTACAAAGAATTGGGCTACCGGAAGCGTCTTAAATAAACAATCGGCAACCTAGCATTTGATTATTAATTATGATTTTTAGAATTCTAATATAAAAACAGATGACAGGCAGAACATTTTCGTTTCTTGTAAATTTTTGATGAGCAGAAACTTTTTAGACCATTCCCATACCATTTGAGAACTTAACTGGTTATTCTTTAATTTCCATTTAGTTGTTTATATTTCCTTCTGCAGTAGAGTGAATAACACATTACATGTCTAAAGATGTCACATTTATCTCTTAATCAGTACCTTAGCAAAGTATGATTTATATTTATTACTTAAATTTGTACAGCTTGTTTTATTTTTCGATGTAGCATAACTCTTTTTTAATAACTGATGCTGACTGAATAAAAAATAACTTAAAGAATAACTCATACACTATAACTGACCGAGTTTAATTTGCCTCTGAGATTTCACTTGTACTTAATTAAGAATGATTTATTTAGAAATGTTCAACCAATATAAATAATATGCTGACGAGGAATTTTTTGCCAGGCTTTGCACTTAATTTCCTGTGATGAGTTTCCATATCCCTATTCTGGCAATCTTACTGTATTTTGCATTTTTGAATAATTAGCAATTATTAGGGGTGTTTTGTGAATCTCTTTTGCAAAACAAAAAAAACATGTGTTAGCACAAATTTAAGCAAATCTACAATTTAAAATAAATTATACTCTTCCTACTGAAAAGAATTATTTGGGCTTTATAAAGAAAAAATAGCTTACATATTTAAAAAAAAATTATCAAATGCTTTTAAAAATCCAATTTGGAAAAATTAATAATAATTAATAAATTATTCCATTTTTTTGTTATCAATAATTCTCAAATTTGAGAAGATTTTTTTGTTGGTTACTTACCTTTCTTCATGCCTGATGACATGATAAAAGCCTTATTTTCCAATGTGCCAGCTTACTCCGTCAGCAGCAAAAGATTTCACTTCCGACCAACTCGTCTGACCGGCTCACTTTTATTCACCATATTGGTACTGTCACCAAAGTAATCGCCAAGTTTTGCCTAAACCAAAGGGTGACATAGGATATAGACATCATAGTAAAGGACAAACTCAAAGAGCAAATGCTAAAATTGTTTGGAATCTTGACACTATATACATCCTGTTATAAAAATGCACCTACAAATTTTTTTGAACACAAGCAATGCAGCATTAGAATAACTTTTCAAGCATTAAAAAATTATATTGGAATGCATTTCATTTTCACATAACTGTACCATATTGACATCTTAGGCCATTTTCTTAATTAGCATAGAGTGCAGGGTTTGAAAAAACCCAACCCGCCTGGGTTTNGTTTTTTCAAAGTGGGCCCACTTGGCGAACCCTGAGTGTGCTAACTTAGCACTGCTAAGATAAGTAATACTTAACATAACAATTATGATTATCTCTTATAAACTCATAAACTGCTAATAAGCGTCATATCAAATGAGAAAAAAGTTTTCAAAGATTAACCTTCTTCTTGAAATTCTGTTTTAATGCTTAATATAATTTTTGATACCACTCTATTTCTCACTTTGTTTTATTTCCTAAAATTATTTTACAAATTTTATGTTTATGCAGAGAAAATTATTTGATTTTAGTATTGAAGCATTTTTCTTTCAGGTTGATAACTATCTTCAGTCATCTGATGGAATAAAAGTTGCTGTAAGTAAAAAAAAATTATTTTGTATGGTGCATTGCTTTTGTATGGCTATTTATAATCACAATTTTCTATTTTTTTCCCTCTTAAAAATACTAGTGTACAGTAGAGCGCCGATTATCCGAACTGTTCGGGACCGAACGTGGTTCGGATAATGTAATGTTCGGATAATCAGAAAGTTGTTTAAAATCTAGTTTAAATGATTATTATTTATGCACCAACTTCCCTTCACACTTTTTCTGGGCTTAGGACTGGCAGTACTATCTAAAATAGCTCTGGCGAGTTTAAGACTTTTTTTTTCTTCAATTTTTAAATATATTTCTTTAAACTTTTTTTTTTCCAATTTGAATCATTTTTATCACATTTCGGCTTTTTTATAATTTTTTTTGTCAATTACTGATTTTACCACATTTTTCTCTATTTTCCATTGCAAAAGATATCCAGCAAAGACTTTTGTTTGAAAGAACATGCTCTTTTTTGCACAGCCATATCCCTTATTCTTTTTAAATAAATCAACTGAATTGGATCAACATCATTTTGACGTTCTAGGCAATTCATTGCAATATCTAATGAATTGCATGCTTCTTATGAGAAGGTCCACGATCTTGAACTTGATCACGTACTTCTTCCTCTTAATCTGAGGAGTTCCGATTTTCATTCAAAATTTCAGAAACAATTTCATGATCATTTAAAATTTGAAATCCTGAGTCGTTTTCAGTGTCTCGACACCAGTCTTCTATTTCTTCTGCCGTATAACCTGGCATATTTTCACCCGAAAGATCTACCGATTCACAAACTGCAGTTTCGTTTGTTTTTCTTATAAGAATTTTATTCCAAGATTTAAGATTCCAAGCACTGTAATCACTAATCATTAACCATGAGTGACAACTACCCATCCCCCAATTGTTGAATTTCAGCACTTATCTATTCATAAACACATTCTGCTTTCCAATAATTGTCAGATTGTCAAAATGAAGCTTGCTCTGAAAATTATCATCAAAGAATGATGATAATTTTCAGTTGAAAAGGGCTAAAGGGGTATGTATGTTTAACTGTATAACAATACATGTATGTATGGCTACTATAAGAAAACTGCTGAAAAATGTTGTAAATTAAATATGGTCTTCAGATGTAGTGGATATTATCTATTCCTCTAAATTTAGAGAAATTGTCGATAAGTTAAAAAAAAATTCTGAACTTAAAAAAGAGAAAAGAAAAAATGAGCGAATTCGAACATAGTTCGGATAATAAGGGTTCGGATAATCGGTGCTCTACTGTATTTCCATCATTCTTTTATCTGTCATTACTGATCACCATCAAAATGTTGCATATCATCTCTCATATCAAAGGGCTGTTATTTTGATATAAAATCATTTTTTCATCATCAATCAATCAATCATATTTTTTTTTAGTTGTATTCTTGTGTAACCATTTATGATATTTAAAATAATGATTAAAGTTTGAAATATTTCTTTTGCATTTTTAGAACATATGTTTATTTTCTGTTGTTAAAATAATTGTATAAATTCAATACTTTGATACAAATCTTTTTGTTATTTTCTTTTCACTGACAGTCTACATATCATCACTCATAGTTAAAATGTTGGTTATTTAATTTATTGTAAACTTGCATAGCTACAAATTAAAATTTTAAAACAATATCTTTTGCACCTTTAAGGCATATATTTCATTAATTTATTTATTGTATAGTGCCGGGATAGCCTGGTTGGCAGGGCGCTGTGCCCATGTCCGAGAGTCCGTGGGTTCGAACCCCGCCGGCCGAATACTCCCCGTGTAGTAAAGTGACTAATGAACGTTAAATCTGTTGAGTTGCAAAAGTCCTCCATGTTCTCATAACAAATCAATACCTCTGGTGGTATTGGATTGAAGATCGATCGTTCTCGGATTCATATCAAAATTATGATCTGTGGATGAGTGAATGGATGTATGAATGGGTCCGCCCTATAAAACGGGTGTGACATATGGTGTGGCAGAAGTCGAATTCTTGGCCATAGATGGAGCCACTGGAAAACAAGAACAATCGCACCCCCCTCTGTCTAAGCTATGTTAACAACAACAACATTTATTTTATCAATATTTATTCAGTAAAGTTTTAAACAATTCTAGATAATTAGAAATTTAGATTAATCCTAATTTTGTTATATATATATTTGCAATTGTTACATATTATTATTTGTAGTTAAACGTTGTTATTTTGATTAAAAATATTTGATTATTCATTTAAAATTATTTTCTAACTATCTTTTTTTTTTTTAATGGTCTTACATGNTTTTAATTTTTTTTTTATTTATTTATTTTTTAATTGGTTAAGATGTTGATAATTGTAAATATAAATTAAATCCTCAATTTCATTTTATATCACACTGCTTAGCTTTTCTTTATGTATCTTAGGAATATCTCTCCATCCAAGATGCTCATGTTATGAGCTCCAAGATTTATTCATCCAATCCTGACTCTAGTGTAAAGAGAATTTTTGATCCTCCATGGGATGAAGTTGTTCTTTTGCATGTCAGGTACATATCTTTTATTTTAGAGCTCTTTCATTCTTAAATTATTTCAAAATAATCTGTTTTAAGTTGTTGTTTTTTTTTTTTTTAAATTGCCCTTTTTATGTGAATAAAAGCTTTTTTTTCTTCTATATAACCAAAAGATATTTGTCGTAGGAATTTTCAAAATAAGTAGGACAAATTTTATTTGTGAGGGTTTAAGATCAACTATAGTAATTTTTATTACGTTTATATTTTTTTCTATATAGGTGTATTCAAGAAATGCATGAAGGAAACTATGTAGAAGCCTATAAACACCATTTTGCTCTTGTTCAGTATCCTTTACATATTTTGTTATTAATTAGCCTTATAAAGAGAAGGTTAATAGGTTTGTAAAAGATGGTTATAATTTTTTTAAATTAATCCTAACATCACATTATCATGTGACTATAATTTTCTATTTATGTATGATGTTACTGTTCGCAATGGGGATTGATATATATATTTTTCTTAACTTGTAATATAACATTTACCAAAATCTTACAAACACAAAAAGATGAGAACTGGGGCTTACCAATTATGTATACTCTTTGCTTGGATTTGAGAAAGCTTGCAACTAAGGTAATTTTTTAAATAGATTTTTGACCACTGTGATAAGTCTTTTAAGTTTTTTAAATTATTGTCAAACATAGTTTAAGTTAAGTTAATCTATATCAGTGATTCTCAACCTTTTTTTTTGTTGCGGCACACTTTTAACGATTTCGAAATTTGACGGCACACAATGAAACAAATTAGATTAAAAGTTGTTTAATTACCTATTTTACACTGTGTTAAATAGTTTGTGATAATAATTTTGAATGTGACATAAAATAATATGTACTACAAAAGCACATTTATTAAGGGATTAATTATTTCTTTCGACCAATTTTTTATTAGTTAAACACAGTTATTTATTTTTTTGCTAGTTTAATTGTTAGCTTGTTTTTTATAATTATTAACTGTTATTTTTTGTGATTTTTTGTTAACTAGCTTTTTTTCTAATAATTGTTAGCTTAATTTTTGTTAGTTATCTTTTGTTAATTTGTTTTTTATATATCTGATTTTTTAGTTATCCTTTATTAATTTGTTTATTAATTGCATAGCTTACTTTTATGATTAGCTCTTACAACATTTTTTAAAATTAAGTGTCATATACAATTTAAACACTTCCATCTTATTTTAAGATTGTCTGGTAACAATCGCCGACAAAGATGTTCACGCTGTTAAAGCGTGGAAAAACTATAAAAAGTATATATATATGCACTTTTCTTTAATTTAAGCTTTACTCATAATAAAAAAAAAAAGCATTATAATTTTTACTGTATCATTTCTAATATTTGGCGGCACATTTTAAGAATTTAGCGGCACACAAAAGTGCCGCAGCACAGTGGTTGAGAATCACTGATCTATATCATCATGGTAGAGTAAAAACATAAATAAAGTTATTTAAAAGTACATATTTAGTATTTAAAAATTATAAATTGATTTTAGTGTTGAACAAGCCATAACTGATTTTGTTTGGAAATGGAATGGCTCAGGGAAAAAAAAAAGTTAATTTTTAAGAAGATCTAATAAAACTTTTTTTATGTAAATAAGTTTTGGTAAGTCATTGCCTAATCCCTTTAATATTACGATATCATGATTTGACTGTATAATCCTGTAAGTTTTTAATATTTGATTTTCGCAAGTATTTTGACTAATTTGTTTTGAGTATCAAATAATAATCCCCTCCCTCTTTAGGCTGATTTGCAATTGGACAAAAAGGAAAAACCAAATGAAATGTTGGAGAAGGGAGCTGATCTTTTGATGGGATTTTTTCGAATTTGTGTTGGTGATAAGTAAGTTTTAATTACTTTTAATAATTTTACACAATTTTTTTTTTTAAAGTTAGGTAATTAATAATTCTAAGATCCTAAAGTAGATCACATATATGATTAAAATGTGTAAATTGTAATTTTAAAATTAAGTTAAAACTTGTACATTGCAATAGAAATTAAAATTTACTATAAAAAGTTTTTTATAAAATTTGTTTAGAAAGATTTTTATAAAATTTGTTTGTAGAAGGACATTTATTATGAATTTGTTGACTTTTTTATGAATTTATAAGCATTTTAACTGACAAGAATTCAATGACATTTGTGATTGCAATACAAATATTTTAAAAATGTTTACTTTATTCATCATTTGCATAATAAGTTAAAAGTTTCTAATAAAATATCTAAAAATGGTTTATTTCCTATGATTTTTTCGTTTATTGGAAATAGCATTAATCTTTTTATCTCCTTTTTATGTTGAAAATTTTTTTTATTTTAGTTATTATTATAAGATACTTTTCAGCCATGTGTCGGACGGACTTAGATAAAGGGAAAAACTTCCTGTAAATACAATATCTCAATTAAAAAATCTTCTACAAGCAATTGATTAACTCTTGTAACTAGTTTCAACTCTTTTTTTTTTTTTTTGCTACCTTATTTTGACAAAATTTTTTGAAAATCACTTTTTTTTACGTTTTAATTTTTATGAAACTCTATATTGAATCATACCGCAGGTATGAATTTTGTAAATAAACCAGAAATGTTTTAAATCGAAATCTAAAAATGTTATGTGCAAAAAAACTTTTTAAATAATTGAATAAATACTTTATTTTTGTGCAAGAAAAAAGTGTATATAGGAAGCATTTATCCACATAATGGTATCAAACATTTTAGTAAAAATAACAATGCAAGATTTTATTTATTTTTATTTAAATTGTGTGAATATGAATCTTAATACGTGGTTTCTGAATCACACAAGTACGAATCTCAATATTTAATTTAAAAAACCACAATCTTGATATTTAATTTTAAAACCGCATGAGTGTGAATCTCAAAGTTTAACTTTAAAATTGGGTTGATACAAATCTCGATGTTTAATTTTAAAATCGTGTGAATATAGTGTTTATGTATGGTTTTTAACTCACTTGAACACAAAATGAATCATGATTGTGACTTTTAAATCACATGAATACATAAGTTTTTAAATATGATTTTTTACATGTTATTTTCATTTGAGATTATTCCATTTTCCAAGAATTCAGCTTTACTTATAAAAGCATTTAATGCAAAGTTCAATTCATTTTTTTGTTATTCACCAAATGGAATTGACTTTTTTGTTTCTTTCAGCCGATCATCTACTGAAGATTCTAAAAGATGGGGTATCCTAAATTTAACTAATCAACTCTTTAAAATCTATTTTAAAGTAAGTCATTTTGATATTCTATAGTAAATATTTAAACAACTAAGTAGAAATTATTATTGTCTCAGTGTGTTGCTTGTATATTCCTCAGTACTATATAGGATTCATACCAGTATGAGGATAATTGTTGCCAACTGCTTGAGAGATATCGCTAAAACCATACGCATGCAGGACAAAATTGTCGCCTTGATATATGTTTAGAAGCTACAATAATGAAAAATAATTTTTTGCATTCCATGCATTTTTAAAACAATTATGCTAATTTTATTTCTTTCCCCATAGGTTGAGTTTTAGTTTAAAGTTTTTTTAATTAAATAACTAAAAGTGCCTAGTACAAAAAAGTTTGAAATTTCAAATTTACATGTTGTGCTGTGTTTTGCTTTCATGCACTGACTATAAAAGTGTTCATCAGTGAAACATTATTTTTTCTCTTTTAGAATTGACTTTATTATCTCTTTTAGGAGTGACTTTAGAGCTTCATAATTTTTATATAGCTGATTTTTATTATAATATTTTGTTCTTACATTCTCTATTTCCTTCATTTATCTATCTCTTTGACCTCAGCATTTTTATCTGTAATTTGAATCTACTTACTAATATTATTTTTTTCTCTTAATTATAATAAATTAAAATACTAATCTTCATTCATTATGGGATAATGACCCTAATTACTTTTATGGTATAATAGTCAGTGTAGAGGCTGTTAATTGTGACAGCTAGGAAATCATGGAATTCCGGGGTAGAAGGATCGAGATTTAGGTCGAATGTAGGAAGACAAACAGAATAGTTCTTGCGCGGAAGGATGCTCGCGGATGAACACAACCGATAACCACGGCTAGGAGTGAACAGTCTTCTGTTCGATATTGAGGCATGGATATTTTGCCATTGTGGTTGTTGCAGCATCCGAGACTGTCCCGATACTTCGTTTTCCCCGGTGACGCCCACCTTCAGGAGGAGATGCTTGCATTTGACAGTTTAAGTTTTTAATTGTTTTAATAACTACTTTTGAAATGTTTTTTTTTTTTTACGAATAATCTTTTTCTGGAGTTTGTTTATTGATGGGTTGTTAACTTTTTCTATTGCAGAAGGATGTTTCAGTGCAATAGTGTTTTATTTGGCATCTTCCAGTTTATCAGTAAACAGCAGTTAGCAATTACTAATTTTTGATGTGTGTCATAACAAGAATTATGCAATTGTAAAGTTCGATTTTTCTCTCAAGTTTGTCTACCATATTAAGTCTTTGGGCCACTAAATGAATGCCTGGGTTGTCCTATTTGATCACTAAATTTTTATTGCTGGCGTGAACCCTACTTATATATATATATATCCATGTATATCCAGGGTTCCACCGACCTGGAAAAATAAATAAATAGTAGCTAAGATTTTTTAAAGCTACTGAAAAATGCTTAAATTTTGCTTTATTTTAAGAATTACAAAATTTTTCCCGCAGTATTTTTTTTACACTCATACTATTTACTTTAAATTAAAAATTTATTGTAACTTAAAACATCTAGATTTATCTCAATTTGCTACCACTTTAAAAAAATTTCCCGACTGTGAGAATCCTGATATATATATTAAAAATTAAGTATGAAAGAAATTTGTTTTTATATACCAACTGCAACCTCAGTTGTCCATCTTTCTTGTATTCAACCTGTAAGTGAGTATTTTATCTTCCTTTTAGTTTAATGTAATTATTTTATAATTGTGGTAGTCTTCTGTTTTAGCAAAGTTAATGTGTATTTCAACAGGTAAAAGATGATTTAAAAAATTATTGACCATTCATTTTTTTTAAATTTTCTTTTTATGCTTTCAAGCTATCTTAATATTATTGTATCCCTTGATTATACCTTTCTTTTTATTGCAGGTAAACAAACTTCATCTCTTGAAGCCTTTAATCAGAGTAATAGAGAGTTCAAATCTTAAAGATCAGTACCCTGTAGCTCAAAGAGTAACCTATAAGTTAGTTTCCCAATAAAATACATTTGTGTTTTATATTTAAATGCTTTATTCCATGCTTTTTACATCAGCTTCTATGTTCCTCACTTTATTAATTTTTTTTATTTATTTAGTTGGTTAGCATTTCTTTTTCTTTTTTTCAGATATTTTGTTGGGCAGCAACAAATGTTCCAGAGTAAATTTAAGTTGGGTATGTTACATTTATAAAATTTATTTTTGCCTTTGTTAGCAAAACTGTTGCATTTTCTGTTTTCCACTAAAAAAAAACTGAAAAAAATTATTTTGGCCTAAGTGAAAGTGTAAAAGTACATAAAATACATTACGCATAAAAGTACATAAATACAATGATTTAAGCACTAAAATCTGGAATTGAATGGAAGGGCTCTTAAGAACAATTGCTAAAATCCACTTGAAAATTTACTTATCTTTAAAGTATGTTAATGATTTATTAAATTTTAATATTCAAATGAAAAGTATTTCATTCTTAACCTATTCTCAAATTTTATATTTTTACAAGTGCTTTTAAAATCACAATTTGTTTTTACAATTATAAATAAAACTTAAATGTAATGTAGAGATGGAATGATTAAATAAAAATAAAATGAAGAAAAGTGCTTTCAAGCTGCAAAGAAAAAGAAAATAAATATTGTTAAGAATTGCCACGAGGCGGCGCTCTCATCATATAACACATTATTATTCAGTTGCCATTCAACTCTAGAACAAAGAACATCTCTTGTTACTCAAAATGATCTTGTCAATTTTATGTTATTAAGTTTGAAAATAAATGTTTATGTTTGTTACAGTCCGCTACTTTATAGCTCAATATATCACGAACACTTAACAAATATGTAAAAGAACTTTCACTTAAGAAAATATTTTTTCCACCTTAATGTAAGAAAAATATAAATGAGCTGACGCTCTAGTATTAATAAGGCTTTATTTATGAACACTAAACACTTTATTTATGCTTTTGTTTGAGAATGTTAGAATTTAAATCCAATCATTTTTTATTTCACTTTTGTCGAAAATGTAATTAGTCGTTTACTCATAGCATTGTGATTAATGTTTTCAGCTGATGAAAATTTGACGTTTGCATTTCTGCATTGCCACAGAGGATCCAAAAGAAATAAACAGCTGATTTTAATTTTTCTCATAACAGTGAAAATGGTCTTAGTAAGTGTTGTATTAATTTATATTTTGCTACATTTTTTATTGACATCAATCTTTGCAAATAGAAAGATTTAGTAATAATAGTTTTTTTTTTCCTTTTTTTTATCAAGATATTTTTCAATACAATTGTTTGTAACCTTTATTTGTTTTTTAAAAAAAGTCATGAAATTTTATGATTTGACAGGTTAAAAACTTTTACAGCCTTACTATATCAAACAAAAGAGCATATAATGATCAGTTGCTAATAGAATTTTTTTTTAAAGAGAAATAATGTTTTCAAGATAATTTTTAACTGACACCTTAAAAATATGTATGAATAAAGTTTTATTTTTAGAAGAAATTACCCCCAACAAATCAGTATCCACTCCTAAGTGTCAGGTAGATAGTTTTACTATTTGATTGCTAAAATATAGAATTAAATCATTTTACAGGTTGTTTAAAAAGATTGTGAAAATTTATGTAAGCATGCAATATTTTTCATGAAACTATGCGTCATTTCCTCACAAGCACGCTTTATCACATGTTATAATATGAAAATATTATAGGAGATATGTTGTTAAAATGATTTATTTGAATGTAACATTAATATAGTGCCAAAAATAAATGTTTTAAATATGTTCTATTAAAGAAACATTCAGACTTGTATCAAGATATAGTGTAAGTCTAAAATCTGTTAAATATTTTATTTAGCACTATAGAGTTCAGCCCTCTTGCTCACTAACTCTCACAATTACTTCCCATCATTTTTTGTTTCTTTAAACAGATAGCTGCACAAAATTAAGAATTATTCAACTGAAACATCCCAAAAATCTTAATGGTTTAATACAGAATTGATTCCAAAGATTTAGTTTTAAATCTGGCTAAATGTTAAATATAATAATTTTGCTTGTTTACCATCTATCACCACATTTAAACATAACATTTTTTTCACAATTACACTCTTAATATAAAATCTAAAAATTTATTTCTCAAATAATACTTTTAATTTTTCTCTTCTTCTTTTTAAGGGTGTAATGCCATCCATGTATTTGCTTCAGAAGTATGACCTTATGCAATTTGCTGAAGTTGCAAAAGCTGTTAGGTGAGTTTTTATTTTTCATGTAACTGCTTCATGTCTCACAATTATTTATCAGAAAAATCTGAAATCAGAGTATTAGCATTCATATACTTATCTCAGTTAAAGCATCATATTTTATAAATTCACATAAAACTCATTAAGCTTTGAAAACCTTTTAAGTCTAAAATGATTAGACTGTGTATTATTTTTCCTAATTCTTTAACGATATAGAAGGAGATATTTAGAAAATATTATCTAAATATTATTTAGAAAATATAATTAAATTAGTTATTTTCCATTGTTTTAAGTTTGAAACCAGAATATTTAAGGAAGTTATTAATTTTCAGTTGAAATCATAAGCAACTTAGAACTCATTAGCTTCCCTCTCCCCTCAAAAAAAGACTGCTTGCATTCGAAAACTTTATTATTTGGTTTTTATCTGTCTTAGTAATGTAATTTTTGTTTTGGTTAACCTACCTTTATTTCTATTACTTGAAGCATGATATATTTAATTTTATGTATAAAAAAAGCTTATTACCATTCAGAGCTAATTCTAATTTCACTAACTTTTTTTTTACAGCAGTTTCATTTCTTAATATTTTTATTTATTGCAGAACATAAATATTTCTCACAGTAAACTCGTTTTACAACAATTGATAGATAATTGTGTTTATTACATGTATCTTTGGTCTCTCTTTTAAAATATTTGTTTTAAGAATTAAATTGTATTGTAAGATTTCATAATTTGGAATTTTCACTGTCCTTTATTTGTTGAAAAATATTGCATTTAGCTTTGGTCTCTCTTTTAAAATATTTGTTTTAAGAATTACATTGTATTGTAAGATTTCATAATTTAGAATTTTCACTGTCCTTTATTTGCTGAAAAACAATAATACAAATAATCTGTATTGAAATTTGGTAATTTAAATAACTGTATTAGACATATTTAAAGGATGTGATCAAGTAAAATAATTAGTAATTTCAAATTAACAGTCAAATAATGTACCATTATATTATTAAGATAAATCACTTATCTAATAATTTATAAATAAATATAAAATACAACCACTTTTTTTTATACATTTTCCACTGAAGGAAATTTTTTTAATGATATAGCATAACTATACATTAGCCATTGAATATATTTATGCTATACAGCCTTTGATAAAGATTTTTTTTTTTTTAAATTTAAGAAAAATAACTGCTATTTGAAATTTGAAGCTGTCACACATATTATAAAATATCAGTTGAAATCAGTATGCTGAGTTAACAATTAGAAAAAACAATGCTTAGTTGGAGATGAATAATCAATTTTGAGTTTCTGCCTATTAAAATAAGAATTTGAATTTATTTTTAGAAAACACTTTAAAAATAAAGTAAACTTTTAGTTAAATCTTAAATATAGTTGTGTAAAATAGAACAGGTAACAGCTTCTGAAGTTCAACTACAAACTGTGGTTTGAAAGCATTTATTGCACTCTATATGAATTTAAAATACCTGTACAATGTGTTCAGTGATTGGTTGTTCATGTTATGCAGTCTAATGATTATTAGTTGACCTAACCAAGAAAAATGTCCCTATATTTTTTTTCTTACCTATTTATTTGGTCATTTTTTCACGCATTTTACATAAATTTTTATATGAATTTTCCTTTTTGTGTAGTACACTTATTCCAATAAACTTACTGAAATTTAATGATAAATATATCTATATCCAAGAATTTTATAAAGAAAACATAATAGTAGCATGTAAAAAAAAATCTCGTTTGTTGACTGACGAAGCCTATAATGTTATTTGTATGCTTAAGTAGCATACATTAGTATAGGGCAGGGACGGCGAACCAAGGGCACGCGACACAATATTTTGGGCACTCCCCCGATCACAATTGTTGTTACACTATGAATTGTTATTACACAAATGTTATTACGCTATGAAGCATATGTAACAATTAAATTAAAATTCACAAAAAACAAATAAAATAATAAACAATTATTAATAAAAAAATTAAAAATTAATACTAAAAAAACAATTAATAACCGTAAAAAACAAGCTAACCATAAATAACTAGCAAAAAAAATCAACAGTCCTGCTTAAACTAACATCTTACAACCTAATATAAGTTATTGGTCATCTAATCTGCAACAACAGAAGTCACACTGATGTTACTTTAAGTTGAATTACTTGCATAACTGAGAGATTGCAAAATGTATTTTTTCTCAATGTAAATAAAGAGTCTTGAGTCGATAGTATTTAGTATTATTCTTTTCCCAATAATCACGAAGTCAAAATTATTTGACGGCACGTCTATGACATCATTAAGCAATTTTTTAGAGAAAATGGCACGTTGGTGTATAAAGGTTCGCCACCCCTGGTATAGGGCATGAAATTTATCATGTATTAACAATTTTTTTCCTAATTTTTCCTTTTTTTTTTAAAAAAAAATTCCAATTTTTTTTATATTTCTATAAATGTTAAAAAATAACCACACTGCCAAAAAATGTTTATCGTGCATTTTTTAAAAATTTCTGAAGATTAATAAAAATTATCTTTAAATCCATAGATTGTTAATAGATAGACTGTGCTATATTGGCAGTTTGGAGTTTCTAACTTGACTTTTTAAGGATCCTTAATTTTTGTAAAGTTTTATGTTGTGCAAATTAAACTGAGGCTTTTATGATCTATTTTTCTATCCAAATTTTTCATATTCATGAAAGATTTTAATATAATTTTATTGGTTTTATTTTTATATGACTATAAAAATAAAATTATATTGTGTATCTCATATTAGTAGTTTTATTTTCTTATAAATACTTTATCTTTTTTAATTTAATCTTCAATATACTAACATCGAAATATTACAACATTTTTCAAATGCTATATTTTCTGACTTGTTTATATTATTAGTAATAAATTGATCATGTTAAAAGATTAAAAACTTATTATAAATTTTTATTATGTTCCTAGTATTACGTATCATACTTTTCATTTGGAATATTATATTCTTTTGGCTTAATTTGATTTTCCTGTTAAGTAATTTTCAAACACAAAATTCATCAGTCTATAAATTAACTCAATCAAAATAATTTTTGTATTTATTTCAGAGATGGTGATTTACAAAGATTTGGAAATGCGCTGGAAGCATCGGAAGACTTTTTTATTAAATGGGGAATTCGTCTTGTGCTAGAAAAACTAAAAATAATAATTTACAGGAATCTTTTCAAGAAAGTGTAAGTAAAAATACCCATTTTATTAATTGTTTTCATTACTTGAGATATTTAACCATAATTTACATTATTAAAAAATGAAGGAACTCATCTTAATTTTTAAATAAAAGGTTTTTTATTCTTTTCTCAAACTCCAACTAAAAGCATTTTTCTTACATGATGTTGAAGATATTTATTTATGTAAGAATTTTTAATCGTTTTTGCTTTTTTTCTGTTTCATAACTGTACAATTAAATTTTGTCTGTAATAAAGTCTCAGATAATTTCATAAAAGCATTAAATTAAATAAACTTGTATTTAAAATTTTATGAATCATCATTTTCTAATCATTGTTCATCAGTTATACATTGCGCAAGAAGGAAGCAAGCATCCTGAATAAATTTTTATCTAGTTTTAAAATTTTCGTGGTCTAGGAATCAACCTTAATGATTCGAAAAGCCTAACCCTAAATATGCTAATTAATTAGCGCAAACAGTATTTTAAGTTACCGAATCAGACAAAAAAACATACCTACTCTGAATTTATCCTTAAAATCTATTAGTAAATTTCAACTTGATTCATAAAAGAATCTTTCAATACTTTCCTTATAAATTCTAACAGAAAAGTTAGACTGACCAATTTTAAATAAATTATTAATTTTCTCTATTCCTGAACTAAAAGGAAATAATTTATATTCATCTTTATATGCTAGTTTTTGTATATTGTTTAAAAAGCCATTCTTTAATCTTCTGTCAAATTTAAAACTTTGTTTTGTATTTCATCAGTTTTTATTAATTATTTTTATTGTTTATAAGTTAGTACTTTTTTTTCATTGCAGATACCTTTTACTCCAAACTCATATTATACCAGTTGGAGCTTTTAAAGCTGCTTTAAATTTTAGAAAAGTAAGTTCATATTTTATTGAAGCTTTACAAATTATTCTGAATTTGCAATATTTAATTGGTGAAAAAGTTTCATTTTGTTTCTAAAGATGCTTTAAAAAAAATGCACCAGAACATCTAAATTGTGTTAATGCCCGTCTGAAAATGTAGGAAAAACACCCCTGAATGGGAAAAACATAGCAGTGATTTTGAACGGGTACAAGTTTCTTTTGCTTTGAACCAAAATGCAAAACTTTACATGATTACTTCTCATTCAGATGAATAAATTGTATCAATTGAATAGTTTTAATGTATTTATTAATAAAAATCATTTTAACTTACTTGTATTAGGAGCAAACAAGTTTTTAAAGGTATTTTGGAAAATTAAGTCTTCATTTATTTGCTAAGGATCTTGGATACAATATTTTCATCATTACATCTCTTTCAGATGTACAGCTGAAGGCATTTATCAATTTAACAAAAAAATGTTTATATTGAAATACAATCTAACAAGCATTCTTTTTAAAAGGAATTTTGAATTGTAAATGCATTCTTTTTAAAGGAATTATTGAAAATAAAATTTAATGTGAAATATTTTTCTATTGTTAGTTTTTAAGACAATGTACTTTAATCTTAATTAGGCTTTAATTTAAGATGCGTATAAACGGCCACCTTCTTCAGGATGCATCGAAAGAAACTTTTTCAACAATCTAATCACTGTGTCAAATGTTTTCAATAAATAGGAATATTATTTAATTGTATTGATCTTAAAATTTAGGAATATCAAGATGATGATCCAATTGAAGAAGAAGAAGTCTTGTGCATTTTGTCAAACCTTATACAGGAAGTAAGTTTATGCAATATTTGATTATCTACTTTATTTGTGTTATTATCTGTGAATCCAATTGCACAATGGCTAATGCACTAAACTGTCCTTGTGAAGGATCAGGGTTCTGTGCCTGTTCATGGCTTAAATTCTCACTCAGCTTCAGATCAATGGGTGCAAGTGGTTTGGAAAATGAAGGTGACAAGCCACAATGGTAACCACATTGGCACTATCATGCCAATGGTTTGGACATCATAAAACCTTAACTTCTATGTCCACTTGGCTGATAACTGACTATTGCAAGGGCATTTTATTTTTTACTATTGGTTATATATGGTGAATATTAGTATAAATAACATATTATTTTTAAGTAAAAAATTTTATACATGCTACTATCATTATATAATTTATAATAATAACCACACTATTTTATCACATGCTAAACTAAAATATTCTCTTTTGAGTATTGTAAGTATTAATTACCTTCACTACAGTGCTACATTTTATGAAAATTTACAATTTATTGGTGATACTTGTTTAATGTGCTTATGAAAATTTTTGAGATATTTTTAATACCTTTCAATACTTTGAACAAATTTTAAGTGCTTTAAATATTTACTGTTCATGCTTCTCATCTTGTATTTTCTGAATCATAATTATTATTAACTGAGCATTTTATGAAAAAAGAATCAAAATAACTTTTTCAGTATATATTTTTAAATAATTGAAAATAAACACTTCATTATAGTTTGATCATTATGAAATTATTTTATTGCATTTTCATTTTTAATCTATAAAATCTCAAAATGCTATTGAATAGCAGTTGTTATACAACAGTTTTCACTGTTTACCCAATGTTATTGTTCAAACGTATTTTGTAAAGAAAGTATTTTGTAAGTTATTTGTTTGAAAGAAGTTTTTTAAAGATACGGAAAAAATTATTAATAAATGAAATATTTTTTTAAAAAATTAAAATTTTTTAATAAATTAGAAAGCTGGAAAACAAAAATAGACAAAATATAATCTCATCAACTCACACGATTATATGTACAAAAAAAGAGTACTTGTTAATATTATATTAATATACCCAAAGCATAATCTATCAATACAATAGTGTGAGGAGCACCAAAATATTTTTGTATTGAAAATTGAACATGCTAAGCAAAAAATGCAAAATAAAACATATTAAGCACAAAATAGAAAATAAATATACGGAATAAAACACTAAATGTAATATATAAAGCAAGTAGAGAATTCAAATGTATTTACTCTTTCAAAAATGATTTTAAATATTTCTCCGAGGCTCTTTCCTTTTATGCCCCTGTGAGACAGGAATCTACTTTTGATGGAGAGATAACTGCTATCCGAATAGCTCTAGTCCAGTTACAGTGTCATATCGATCTTTTTGATACAGCTGTTGTCCTATGTGACTCAAGAGCTGCTTTGCTTACCATTGCATCCTTAAATAATCCCTTAACTCGAGACATTTTGGATTGTCGCCTCCAACTTGAATGCATAGCACCCCTTAAGAAAACCATTGTTCTCCAGTGGGTTCCTGCCCATTGCTGGGTTACGGCTAATGAAAAGGCTGACTACTTAGCAAAAAAGGGGGCCTTAATTATTCAGACTTCTGCGCACATTATGCCCTTCTGTTCCATCAAACAGCTTATTAAGAGGACCTTTAAGACCTGTGCTCATGAAGAACTTATCGGCCGTACTTGGAGGGCTACCATCCTAAATTTGCGAAATGGCCCAAGACGAAGAGTGGTGGCTGAATTCCACTTGGCCACCGGTCATGACTGTCTGCGGAAACATCTGTCTAGATTTGGTATCGTTCCTCCCCCGGTATGCACTCTTTGCAGTTCTGGTGAGGACATGGACTCCACGCACCTTCTCCGCTGCTCTACACTTTGCAGGAATTCTATCACTGAACACTATTGGGAAGCTAGAGACATGTTGTGATTAATAGACTCTGTTGCAGCATCTTTGTTTTTGTTCTTGTTTTTATTAGATGTTTATATTTGCTGTTACTGTCTATAATCTGCCATTGGAAATAAAGAAAAATAAAAAAAAAGTTTGCCAGATTACAATGTATGAACATAAAAGCATAAATAAAGTATAGTGGGGTCATTTTATGGCACGTTCTTATTGAAGTACTGTAGATCATTTGATTTCTTAGTTAATCTCAGGTTGCCCCAAAACTGGATCTGCACAAGGTAGTAATGTTATCCTGGATAATTCAAAGTTTACAATTAACAAGGTTTTTATTTTATTTTTTGCAGATATAATTGTGTGAACTGATGACCAGATTATATCTTTTTTTTACTTCATTTTCTGTCTTTTTAAATTTTTAACTAATTTTCTTTTAAATATTTTATTTATTAATAATTTTTCTTTTTCTCTTTAAAAAATTTATATATATTTTCCATATTTCCTTTGCATTTTTAAGTTATTTTATGGGTTCTATGTACTTGCATCNGCTGATGGAGTAAACATCACTTCTTCGCTCTCACTCAACTAAGAATGTTCAAATAAAAGTTACTCTGATTTAATTAAAATCCTGTGTCTGTTTTCCTGCTCGGTCCGACTGCAACATTTTACATATATATATATATATATCAGTAACAGCAAAATGAAAAGATAGAGAGGTTTGCCTATATATTTTTATAACTAGTTTCATTTTTAATGTCAGATTGTAAAATGATGCAATTTATTGAATACATTTTAAACTTATTCATTTTTTATTTTGTAGAATAAAATGAAAGGCTACATCTCATATCAGCATCTAAAAGTTGTTTTGAGTAAACAAAATGCCTTCCCACCCCTCTCATCTTCATCAGAGTAAAAAGATCTCATTCCACACACTCCTTTAGAACATCACTTAATGTATTTTGAATTATCAATCATATATTTTCATTAAAAAAATAAAAACTTTTTTTATATCACAGTCTGTCGCATCTTTTATTTTGTTGATGATGTATTTAAAAATTTATGTTTGATTTAACTTATAATTTGGATGAAAATAATTCATTCATTAAATACTGAATTTGCTGTATATGTAGAGTATAACTAAATCACCTAAAAGAATGCTTTTAAGTAATTTGGGGGAGGGGTTGTTTGCAAAACTACATTATAAATATGGTGCGTAGCGTTTTTAAAAGGTGCTTATTTTCGATTTTCATTTTTTAAAAGCCCTTAAAGGTGCTTTTTTTATTAGGTGTTTTTAAAAAGTTCTTAATTTTCCCTTTGCGAAAATGATTTTTTTTCTTCTTTACCATGTCGATTTTCAGTGCATTTTATGTGTGGTTTAACATGACAGAAGTGTGGTTTTCGCATTGTTCTATTAAACATTTTCATAATTCATTCAACCACAATCCATTTCGGCGTGTTGTCGGTCCGTAAAGTATAATAGCGCGAATCATGTTACATATTTGATGAAATACATGGGAGTCTGCATGTGCGTCTACTGAGCTGGATTTGGTGAGATTCTTGCACTCTCTTCTGCAACTCTGCTGCATATTGCCCGATATTCTCAATTTCAGGCTTCATTTTGCACCGTCTGATATCGAACCTTAAAACCTCTTGATCTCTTTATGGTGGCTAGCATAATCAAAAAAAAAGAGTTCATTGTCAGAAACTTGTTATTTTAGCATGATTATGTAAAGTCTTTGAAAATTGTTTTGCATTTTGTTAATGTATATTGTACTTCAAAATATTTTTTGAGTGATTAAAAAGTACTTAAAAGGTGCTTATTTTTTGTTGAAAGATTTGGTTTTGCACCCTGATAAACATTTGAAACAAGCATTGTATGCTCTCAAGTGAAACATTTATGTGTGTTAGATTAGTTTTTGTAATTCTTTTAAATCGTAACTGTAAAATATAAAGCTAACTCATGGTTAGACCCATGTTTTTTTTCTGCTCTATTATTGAACGAAGAATCTATACCAGAAAAACACATCTGAAAGCAGGTTCTTCCATGTAGCAGCACAAAAGCCTAAAAGTGCTTAAAAAGTACTTAAAAGGTGCTTATTTTTTGTTGAAAAATTTGACTATGCACCCTGCCTGACTTTTCCAATTATATAAAGTTGTCGCAGGTTTCTTTTTTTTTTTTTTAAATAAAATTCCAATTTGTTTGAAAGATTTTTCAATTTTAAATGCTTTCTTTCCATAAACTTTATTTATTTACTTTAAATAATAGTTATTTATCCGTTGTTGGCGGAAAATTTCTCTCTAAATTACTTTGTTAGCTCTCACTTGACTCGATGTTAAAAATAACAACAGCAAAAATTTGATAAAAGTAATAAGGAGAAACGATTAAATGTTTTCAGATTTAAATCACAACATTTATACCAAAATATTTTATATCTTCAAATGTTTCAAGGGAGGGAAAAACAGTTTGCAATTTGAACTGTTAATACAATAAAAGGTTACTGTCCTAAATAATAATCAAGTAAAATTACTTCTTATTGTATTACACATTCTCTATTCTTAAGTTAAAATATTTTTCTTCAAGTACAGTTTATTACCTTTCAAATCCAAGTAATCGTCCATTTTGTTACGGTTAACATAATAACAAAAGTTTTTTTTTTAACTAAAATTGCAGTAGTTACATATTTTATTAACAAAATTATCTTTTTTTTTTATAATTATTGAATTTTAAGGAAAATTTAAGGATAAGTGAGAGGTCACCAATAGGATTGGTAAGTGGAGCCAGCAAGAGGCGGACCCTTCTAATTTAGTAAAAAATCAATTTTTTTTGCTGTTATGTGATACTTCTGAAATTAACTAGGGCAAACAAAAAGTTATAGTAAAATTAATCGTTCATTTTGTTACAATTAAAAAATGTGATCAAATGTTAAAAAATGATTTTTTATTTTATAAACAAAATAATCTTTTTTTTTTTTCTTTTTAAAAGTATCGATTTCTTTTTTTTTAAAGAAATGAATGAGATTCCACCACAGATACTGAACATATCCTAGTATCCATATTTTACTTAAATGCTGAATAGTTCGTATTTTAATTTATACACCATTTTACAATTTTGCTTGGAAAGAAACATAAACGAAAAGCGTTGTTTTTTTCCTTTAGAAAATCACTTTTATCAGAGTGCTTCCATAACAGAATTGATTATTTGTTCATAATAATATGACATGCCTCTTCCTGTAATATGTATTTATTGAAACACTTTTTCTTTTCATTCATGAGGAAATTGGTCATTTTTTTGAAAATTAAAAAGATGACAAAACAACTCAATTATTTTTAAGGAAAAAAATAAGCATAAGTAAAGAAATCTCTTCATTATTTACATCATGAGTTCATATCCTTAATAAGATATGGACAAAGAATCAAATATAATTATCGTTTCGTCGATGCTCATTTCTTACATAACAAGTTCTTATTATGGATGAAGTATTTCCATCAGATTTTCATTTTAACTTTTTCTCATCTTCCAAAGAGTTTGGTTAGATTACTTTTATTCAAAGTTCATTTTTAAATCAAATTTCTATTTTAAAAAATGAAGACTTTCTTGCCTGTAGTGTGTCTTGTTTTAATTTTTGCTGGAGTTTTCGCCCAGGAACAAAAACCCACCTCCTGCCCAGGCAATGTAAAGGTGATGCAAAACTTTGATGTAAACCAGGTTAGAACGATTTTTATTTTTTAATTGTATTACCTTACATTTTAGTTTATTGATTTAAATGGAGTGAAATAATTTTACGATTAAATTTTTCTTTTTCTTGTGGAAGAAGTTTTCGTAAGTAAACTCTTCACTTCCTAACTATTTTTTCTTGCGTTAATGAGGACTGTATTTTTATACTATTTATTTGATTTTCCTTTTTTTTTTATTTAGTTTTGCCATTTTATAAATGCTGTTAGGAATTTTCTTTTCTATTAAAGTCCTTTTTAAAGCACGTCCTTTTTTTTCTACATAATAAACAATAAAATTAATGATAATCGGTGCATTTGAAAGAAAAAAATCTATAAAACAATTATTTTCTTTTCTAAAAATTTTAAAAACCATGTATTTCATGTAACTAAAAAGGAGAATATAATTTTATTTTTGTCAGTTTTAAAACAAAAAAATAAAGAGTATCTTTAAAAAACGAGGAAAGGGAAAATTTGTGAAAACAACAAAAGAGTTATTATGAAAAATGATGTGCCCTGCGTTTTTTCCTTTTACGTCTAATAATAGAATTCTTTCTTAGTCTAAATGTAATTTTAGTAGTTGCTTAGTAAAATGCAATTTTGTTAAAGTTGCTAACTTAGTAAAATGTAGTTTTGTTAAAGTTGTTGATTTAGTAAAATGCAATTTTGTTAAAGATGATAACTTAGTAAAATGTAATTTTGCTAAAGTTGTTAACCTAGTAATATGTAATTTTAGAATTATTTCATTTACTTATTGTTTTTTTAATTTTATTATTCTGTCTGGATCACATAAGTGTATATTAGTTTGCTAATAATGGCAATAGAAAATTTTGATTGTGCCATTCAGACTATTAGTCTCGACATTCAACTATTAGTTGTCTCGACATTAAGCAAAAAGCTCTAGCAAAAGCTCAGTTTTAAACACTGAACTATTGGAAAATCGTTGAAATTTGGATTGACGATTTAAAAAAATGTTTCTGTGGATATGATGGCAATCAAATTTGGTTGCAGCGGTCAAAAAACGATTAAAGCTTGTATTGTGATCACATCCATAGCTCTTATTGCTAAAATAGTCTCCTTAACCATAATTTCAAGGATAAGGGAGTTAAAACTAACTTCCCTTCTTTTCTTTTATAAAAATTATCGAAGTTATATCAAGTATAATATTATACAAAAATCAAAACTTTCAGTTTATTTGATTATTTTTATGTTTTGAACCTGAGATAAAATATATTATTATTTTCTTATTTTAATAATTATTTTCTTAATATTGTTTTTATCGAGATCAATGTTTCTGGTGATATTTTCAACGAAACTCACCCACATTTGCATACAGAAAAAAAAAGAAAAAAAAACTCTTTCAGTTAGCCGGAAGGTTCATAGATTATAACACATTAGTTGTTATACTTATACAACTGTTGTTAGACTATTAGTTGTTAGACTTATACAACTGTTTTATATCAACATATATTTGATAATTAAAAAATTAAGCGAGAAAATTTAGACAATTCTCACATAATTACCTCCGACTGACTCAAAGATTCAAAATGTTAATTTAACTTATAAGCACACATTCACGCTATGAACTAAAACGAAAAACTATAAGACAGCTATTACATAATTATTTTGCTGTGGAAATTTTATATCACTCTATATTAAAAAATTGTAAGGGTGTTTTGGATGTTCAACTTTAAATTACATTCTAGTTTTGCTGTGCAAAAATTAAAAGACTTAGGAATTTCAAATTACAAAGAATTATAGAAAAATGTACGGGGAGTACGATGGAATTAAATTAGATAATTAGAGCCTGTTGATTCAAAGAGTTTAACTTGTTGCTGTAGTAGGACACTAAGGCAAGGGGTGCGATTGTTCTTGTTTTCCAGTGGCTCCATCTATATCCAAGAATTTGACTTCTTCCACACCCATACGTCACATCCGTGTATAAGGTGAACCCATTCATACATATATTCATTAATCCATCTATAGATCGTAATTTTGACCTGAACCAGAGAACGATCAGTACCCACAGATGAATAATTTGTTATGGGAACATGGAAGACTTTGTGACACGACAGATTTTACGTGCAGCAGTCATCATTTTTTACACGGGGAGTCTTCAGCCGACTGGATTCGAACCCCCGTTCTCACGAACGTGAGTCCAGCGTCTGCCTACCAGGCTTTCCCGGCCCCAAGAATTTAGTTTCATAATTTTTAATCTTCCCTCTTTTAAAAAAATAAATCAGTTAATTTATTTTAATTCAATTTCATAAAGAGCGAATGCAAATATTTCTATTCTCAATAAATGTAACGTATGACTTTTTAACTTCAATACAAGCTCATGACTAATTATTATTTAATATCACAAATGCATATCAAAATCTATTTTTCACCTTTCTTTCTTACCACATTAAACACCAACAACCACAATAAACATTAGCATTTACGCTATTATAACTTTAATTTCTGACGTACTTTTTGGTCTTACACATCTTTATAAACCAATATGTATATTGTACAAACTTTTATTTACCTATTCATCTGCAAATTTAGATATGTCCCGCAGTGGACTGATCTTTAAGACACGGTTCCCAGCAGATCACCGAAGTCAAGCATCACTGGCTGCGGTCAGTGTGCGGGTGAGTGACCACTTGGATCAGTCTGCGTAGGGACCGAGGGTGTGCGGTATTGGTCCTAGTTAAACTGTTCTACGGTAAAGTTATAGACTTCGCGCTCAAGTCGTTGGGCTACCGAAGCAGGGGTGCCATCCTCTCTGCAGAGGATCAAAATTGTGATGGTATGTCTTCGGATCATCCTCAGGGATGTTTCCCGGACCGTCGCCAATAGCCCATTGTGTAGCTCTAGTGCGAGGTAAATGAACAACAACAGCAAATTTAGATATTAAGTTATTAATTTTAGCAATGAAACTAATTCAAAATAATATTGTAATTACAAATTTTCTAGGTATTTTGGTCATAATATTTCAAATTAAGTTGACAGTTTAGACATACTAAATTTTATATGGCTAGGTGCAATGAGAGGAGATATAGTTTCATAAAATTAATTTAGCAGTGTTTCCATTATTTTATCCCTCCACTGTATATTCTATATTGTAACTTAAAATTTTTATTTAGAGTTGAAACTTTTTAAAATCTTGTATATGCATGTCAGTTGGTGATGAATGTTGTCTTTGTTAGTATCTTGGCCTTTGGTTTGAAATCGAAAAAACTCCTATGGTATTTGAAGCTGGACTGAAATGCATCACAGCTAACTACACCGATAAAGGGGATTATATTTCAGTATTCAACAGAGGAGTTTCTAGAAGGTATATTTAACTCTTACTATCAAGGTTTAGAAGTACATATATCTAACTCTTTGTTCCATACTTACAAAACAACTGTTAAGTACGAACTTTTTAAGATAAATATTTAAACAAAAACAAGGAGAAAAAAATTTGCAGCAAAATTTATTTTTCAAGTTATTATTTTTTGTGTATAATTAAATTTCATTACAAACCGCGTAGAAAAGTGCCAAAGTGCAAAAATTCCTTATGCATATATCTTTGGAATAAAAAAGAAAATACTGAAGAAAAACATTCAACATAATAAAGGAAAATAAAAGAATAAACGAAATATTATAAAACAAATGTTTAAACATAACTATGAAAACATTACTAGACACGGACCTACTTAATTGTTTCACATATTATTTTTTTTCATCTAATATGATTAGCATATAGGCATAAAATTAAAACTCTCTTCTAAATTATTTTTGGCATATATATATGTAATACAAAAGTTATAAAAATACTTTTGTATTAATAAAAGCATTGAAACTTTTTCGTGTTCATAAAATGCAGATATTCTATTTTGGGATTTCAAGGCCAAAAAATATGCCAATGAATAATAATTAGATTTATATTTCAAAAAAGAAGTTATTTTAAGATCTTTCACTTCCATATAAGGAAGGATTGAACGATTTTCTATGAGTATTAAATGATTTGAGATGAGGCGTAGGAATACAAGAAATGCATTTGACTGCCCTTTTTACCCATTTTAATTATCGTATGAAATAGGGGAGCAATGGTTTTTGCGTGGCTTTTTGTAGTTTATAATGCCTAACTAAACTCCGTCAGTTTAGACGGGATATGGATCTCCCCATCTCTAGCTTGGAGGGGGCTGAGATGTATGCTTTCACCATCGTTAGTAAATAAAAAAGATTATGCAGAAAAGGACTTCATTTTTCCTGTTATGTTGACGAAAAATCCAAAATATATCGGGGTTGTGCCCTGATATTTCATATAATTTTTATTTTAATATTGTTTATATATATATAATAAAATAAATAATTAAGCCAGGAAAACAAAATAATGAAAAGATATAATCTCTTCATCAGTTCACTGCTCAATATCAACTCTTTCTAACTGAAAACAATTGTATGTTTATCTACAGACTGTGTTGCATTTTTCTCAATGGTGATAATTTTGGAAGCATTGTCTTACAGATTTATCTAGTCGATAGTGCTGTTGACAAACTTTGCAACGAATTTTAAAACATTCTGAGAATAAATACCTTTTTTCCTATGCAGAACGCTTCAAGACATTCTATACATTTCTATCTCTTTTTGTTTTTTCTTTAATAGATTTTTTTTTTCAATCGTCGATCATTTTTAGAACAACCATAAAAAAATTTCTCTATTTTTAAAGGAGTGGACGAGAAAAAACATCTGAAGGAAAGGCCACAGTTCCGAATTCCGATGAACCAGCAAAATTAAAAGTTCGGTTTGATATATGTAAGTATTACTCATAAAACGTAGGTATTAAAAAATGAGTTAGGTTTAAAATGGTTTTATTCATATGAACGTATTTTCTTAAAGTTTCGAGAAACTTCTTTTTTATAATTTTTTTTATAAACCTCTAACAATGGTCTTGCGAAAGAATTATTAATTTCTACCTAGAAGTTAATTAAGGTAATTCATGTCTAAAGTTCTCAGAGGAAAGTTTATCGCATTTTTCACGAAAAGATTGTGCTTTGTTAAGACTTGAGACAGGTTTAAATCTCCAAAACCCTACAATGTAAAAAAAAGAAAAAAATCCCATGTAATTTACGGTTTTCGACCTGCAACTGGATTGGTTTTACAAAACCGTAAAATTGAGCAAAACAGTAAAATCCGCCGCCTCATCGGTTTTTGAATACAAGTTTTGTCCGTACTCTGTAATCAGAAAATCTGTAATCAGACTTATTTTTTACCATAACAAAACAAAGCTTTATAAAAATTACAAATAGAAATAAAGCTGTTGTCTCAACAGATTTATACAATATGCGAACTAGTTTTCTCTGTGATAGTTACGAAGTAAATCTGTACCCACACCAGTTCAGAATATTTAATGTCGGCAGATTTTTTGTTGACCAGTCATCGCTGCGACTCAAATTTCGGTCGAGAAACGCGTGCCACTCCAACGCATGTCCAAACCACTGCGACTCAAATATTTTAATATGAAGAAATAGTGATAGTGAGAAATTCGCTTCAATATTATATCAAGTTGACAAAAAAGACGCATCGCAGATTTATTTATACGATGTTATAAAACCATAAATGATAAATAAGAAGTAAGAGCAAGTATAGATAATAGTCGTAAAATGATTGGAGAATAGGTACATTTCAGAACGCAAAATTGCACGGCAAAAACTAGAATTTTAATTGACGGTTTATAAACCTGTTTGCTACCAGGGTAAAAAACGGTGGAAAACCGTTTTGTCAACAAAACAGTTATAAGCCTTTAAAAATACTGAGAAATCCCGTAAAATCAATGGTTATTTCGTATGATGCTTACGCATTTAAATTCGTTTCCTTTTTTTTTTTAAATGAGAATCTACATATATTCAGAAAAAAAAAGAAAAAACGATATGTTTGTGCAAATAGTTGGAGAGATAACCAAATTCTGAGTTTGACTTCGTAACCTCAGGTGGTTTGTATGAATCTCAGCACTACTAACATAGGTCTTTCGATTCGTGGTACGATTTATCCAAGTATATAATAAATATTAAAAAAACTGATTAGATTAAGGGTTATTCATTTTGATTTGTTTTTTTCTTATTTGTTACCATATTAAATAATTAAAGTGAAAAGCAAAACGAAATAATTTTACAGTAAAATTTACATCTTCTTACATAAACATAACAAATGAATAGTATTTTTACAGTAAAATTCAGACATTACTGAATAATTTTATTAAAATTTTTTTTTATCTAATGTAATTTTATTTTTAAGTTTATCATTATTATTAAATCAGATATTAAAAAGGTTATAACGACACTTTTATCGATAGTTTTTATGATACATTTTTTGTTTTTCGTTTAGTATCCTTCTCATCAGATTACTGGGTTTTGGATACCAACTATGATGAGTATACTGTGGTATATAGTTGTTTTAACATGCTGAAAGGTTATGAAACTGGTACTGATATATTTATTCAATCATTTACTTTGTTTCAACATTTATATGTCTGTGATTTTTCTGAAAAATAAAATAAAATAATAAATTTAGAAACTATGCTTCTCAAGTGGACTAAAAAGGCGAAAATAATTATACTTATGACCAGGACCATTCTGAGTCAAAACACTTATGAAATTTTTGGGGCCCCTTGAAGTCTAAGGGACACTGGACGTTAAAAATGAACTTTTTTAAATATTAAAGGTGTTCAATATCTCAGAAATATAGCGCCA